GTATTCGGTAGCTGTGTTGTAGTATTGGATAGGACGTTGTGGGCGAGTTTGTATATGGCAGCCGTGTTGTAGTATTGGATGGGATGTTGTGGGTGAGTTTGTATGTTGTAGCCGTGTTGTAGTATTGTATATGATGTTGTGGGCGAGTTTGTATGTGGCAGTCGTGTTGTAGTATTGGATGGGATGTTGTGGGTGAGTTTGTATGTTGTAGCCGTGTTGTAGTATTGTATATGATGTTGTGGGCGAGTTTGTATGTGGCAGTCGTGTTGTAGTATTGGATAGGATGTTGTGGGCGAGTTTGTATGTGGCAGCCGTGTTGTAGTATTGGATGCGATGTTGTGGGTGAGTTTGTATGTTGTAGCCGTGTTGTAGTATTGTAAAGGATGTTGTGGGCGAGTTTGTATGTTATAGCCGTGTTGTAGTATTGTATAGGATGATGTGGGCGAGTTTGTATGTGGTAGCTGTGTTGTAGTATTGGATGGGATGTTGTGGGCGAGTTTGTATGTGGCAGCCGTGTTGTAGTATTGAATAGGATGTTGTGGGCGATTTTGTATGTGGCAGCCGTGTTGTAGTATTGGATGGGATGTTGTGGGTGAGTTTGTATGTTGTAGCCGTGTTGTAGTATTGTATAGGATGTTGTGGGCGAGTTTGTATGTGGCAGTCGTGTTGTAGTATTGGATAGGATGTTGTGGGCGAGTTTGTATGTGGCAGCCGTGTTGTAGTATTGGATGGGATGTTATGGGTGAGTTTGTATGTTGTAGCCGTGTTGTAGTATTGTATAGGATGTTGTGGGCGAGTTTGTATTCGGTAGCTGTGTTGTAGTATTGGATGGGATGTTGTGGGCGAGTTTGAGTGTTGTAGCCGTGTTGTAGCATTGGAAAGGATGTTGTGGGCGAGTTTGTATGTGGTAGCCGTGTTGTAGTATTGGATAGGATGTTGTGGGCGATTTTGTATGTGGTAGCTGTGTTGTAGTATTGGATGGGATGTTGTGGGCGAGTTTGTATGTGGTAGCCGTGTTGTAGTATTGGATGGGATGTTGTGGGCGAGTTTGTATGTTGTAGCCGTGTTGTAGTATTGGATAGGATGTTGTGGGCGAGTTTGAGTGTTGTAGCCGTGTTGTAGTATTGGATGGGATGTTGTGGGTGAGTTTGTATGTTGTAGCCGTGTTGTAGTATTGTATATGATGTTGTGGGCGAGTTTGTATGTGGCAGTCGTGTTGTAGTATTGGATAGGATGTTGTGGGCGAGTTTGTATGTGGCAGCCGTGTTGTAGTATTGGATAGGATGTTGTGGGTGAGTTTGTATGTTGTAGCCGTGTTGTAGTATTGCAAAGGATGTTGTGGGCGAGTTTGTATGTTGTAGCCGTGTTGTAGTATTGAATAGGATGTTGTGGGCGAGTTTGTATGTGGCAGCCGTGTTGTAGTATTGGATGGGATGTTGTGGGTGAGTTTGTATGTTGTAGCCGTGTTGTAGTATTGGATAGGATGTTGTGGGCGAGTTTGAGTGTTGTAGCCGTGTTGTAGTATTGGATGGGATGTTGTGGGCGAGTTTGTATGTTGTAGCCTTGTTGTAGTATTGAATAGGATGCTGTGTGCGAGTTTGAGTGTTGTAGCCGTGTTTTGTAAGTATTGGTGGGACTATCGTTTAAGAGTTTGTATGTGATAGTTGTGCTGTAGAATTGTATGGGATTCTGTGAATGAGTTTACGTAAGGTGAATGTGTTGAAGTATCGCTGCGGATGTTGTACACGGGTTTGTGTGTTGTCGAAATGCGTTGAAAATTACCCAGTTTGTTCCTTTAGGCGGGTCTGATTTAGTTGTATGTACAACATGTATCGATTACATACACTTGAGATGTAAGTACAGCTTGCAGCGATATTCCTCTCTGATTAAACTCGTGTAAAACACGTGTTTATTACCATTTTAAAACGAGATTTCAAACTTTTCAGTGCCAAATAAAATGATGATAATTCCGGAAGTTTGTTGAACGGTTTTATAGACTTTGTTAAGATAATATCGACGGTGTCAAGGTTTACGACGCAATGATAACACGTGGGAGGAGTCAGTAATATGTTAATGCTTATAAGTGCGGTTTACGTGTTGATTTTAAATTATCTTATGCAATATTCTTTTCTTTTTAAAGATTCTTTTCAAATCTGTTGATAAACCTTTTCAGGGCTGAGTGAGACGGTGTTTGTTAAATCCAATGTAACATTTTTGGTTATTCGGTGTGGGCCAGTTTATGTTATTTGGTGTGTAATTCCGCTTTAGTAAATTTGTGTTTACCAGTTTTGGGTAATTGGTGAAAAAAAGGCTTATATGCTGTTTTTTGACTAATTTTTATTATTATTTTGCGAATATGTATATACAGCTTTTCTCTGTGTGATACACAGTTTTTTCTAGTTGGTGCGTTGGCTGGTTTGGGTATTCATGATGTATGCATTTTCTTTATTCGCTATAATTACTATTTTTTAGTCATTCCGGATGTTTACTGGTTTGGGTAAATCTGTTTTTTTGTTGGATTTGAATATTTATATATTATATATCATGTATGCTAGTTTTTTTTCTTTTCATGTTTAGTACGAATGCTTGTTTGGATCGTTTGCGTTGGCAATTGGATGTGTATGTTTGGGTGGTTGTTTGTTATGAATGCTATAATACTTTAATAAAGCGCTTATTTACCTTACTTTGGGTTAGTGGAAGTATCATTTTGTAAACATTCTGTTAGGATATCGTTTTTTATATAAGATATTTACATTTGCTGATGGAAACAAAAACTGTTGTGGGAGATGGAATGCCGAGTATACGGACGATAGGGTGTCATTGGGAAGGAGAATGTGATGTGCGTGGTGTCCTAGGGTAACATATCACATATCAGGTGCAATTCTGTACCCGATCACCAGGTGGACTTTCAACCATTCTCATACCGCCACGAGGATCATATCGTATGATAGTGGTTTAACGTTGTCTGCTATTTACGTATTCCTACCATCCCTGTTGCATGTCAGAGGATGTGATTTAATTGCCTCGACGGGATCAAATAAGACCCTTATTCGTCTACAACACGCGACGTTTACCCCTAATGTTCGGATAGTTCACATCTAGGCTAATCGACGGTGAAGCAAAGAATAAGCGACGCAGTACCTTGATGAAACATGGGAAAGAGCTACAAACTAAACCTGTCGAGTGTTCCTGATGTATCTATATAAAAACAAGGGCCAGTGAGAGAATGGGAGTGTATAGGCATTCATCCAATAATTTATACGTTTGAATCCATTAACTTCTGAAGTATAAACCATAAACTTTTCCTCAGCACAACTCATTGACATTGGATATAGATACCTCGTATTCATTCAAATTAATACATGTTAGCAAGCACGTGCTACGTCTCAAATTTAGATTTGAGACAAGGATCATATTTTGTATTTATGGTAAACAATATCACATTGATGTCTTCCAAATTTCATTTTTTATTTTATTTTTTAAATTTCTAAATAAATTTAAACGGCTATTTTCGTCTTTGGAATGGATGTAATAAAATAAAATGATTACGTTGGGTGATATATATTAATCGTTCCCTCGGGGTTATGCCATGCTACTTACAATATTTCCCTGCGGAAGTGACTCCCGCTGTTCAAGGAAGTAAGCCTGGAAAATATTCCCGTGCATCGGAAAGATCGACAAAATGTTAAATTTTTTGAAATTAAGTCCCCCGACCACACTTGGAATAATTAAAGGATGGACTACGTAGAAGAAGGTTAGCTCATTTTTGAGAACATTAAAGATAGGGATATGGGTTAATAGAATTCCCTGTAACACTTTAAAGTGTTAAATACTAAATAGTTCAAAAGCTTCACGCTCGGGTAATGGAAAAGATAGTGTGTGAAGCTGTGGGACATTCTCAATGATTGTAATAGGATGATCAGCGGGAAGCTGTCCAATCAAACCAAGAATTGTAGAGAATAGTTTACCGACATCACATACCTTCTCGGAAGGATCTTCCAAGACATGATTTGAAACAAGCAAAAAAGATTGACTAGACAACCGAAGAATGAAATACATACATAAAAAACAATATTCAAGGTTCACTGCGAAACGTAAGCAACACATTGTAACCTCTATATACGTTTCAGCGATGAAATCGCATATAATGGATGATGAGAACGCTAACGAAATCGCTTGGTTATCACCTGCTGTTCCTCTATACGTCCAGTTATCTGATAATTGGAAATGGAAATATATTAAAAAGGTAACAAAAAGTTGTGTTCATTTAAAAAGATGCAGATTGTTTATACAAAACGTTTTATTTAAAATATTTGAAGAAAAGAACATCCTTTCACCAATACTACAAAATTACCGATGTTATATCATTTAAACGTAATTAGGACAACTACCATCCGTTACAATTCAGTAAGTGGTGTATTTTGTTTTCCGTGAATAATATCCGTAATGAGTTATTAAGGTGATTAAGAAATTCAATGACAGTGAGTAGTTACATATATACCGTGTGTAAAAACGATATTATCCACTAATTTAATTAAAACAATTGACTGTATATGCTGTTGTCACACCATTGTGATATAGAACATATATTCTGGGGTAGCATAGTGTCATCATATATTTATCATATACTTTTATATCTATGGTCGGATTAAATGAATAAGCATGGTATGTAAAAGCAAGTAAGTTCAATACTTATATACACTTATCCTACTATTTTATTGTCTTTTACAGATTCGTTCTCAGTGTAAACTTGATTAATATGATCCTTCAAATGATGGTGAAGTGTCGTCATTTGATGGTTACAATGATGACGTTATAAGGGACACTCTCTGTTTATGATATAATTCAAGTAGTTATATTTAGAAATTTTGTTTTCGATACGTATATCATTAAGTCTTAATTGTTGATTTGTTTCTAGCTTAGATACGCTACATTCCATTGGTGGTTTATTCCGATCAATTCACAATATAGATCTTCATGATGTACATTGTCTATTTCAGCATGCAACTGCAACCTCCACGCCAGACAATGTCGGTTCAATAAGGAACTGTATATCTTATCGGGTCAAAAGAGCGGAGGGGTTTGCATCAAGTGTCGCCACAACACAGCTGGCAGAAATTGTCATTATTGCAAAGAGGGCTTCTATAGGGACTCGAGCAAGCTTATTACACACAGAAAGGCTTGCAAAGGTAGGAAATTTAGAGTACTTCTTTAACATCATACTTTCTTTTTTACAGCCTGCAATTGCAATTTGCATGCTCGGCGCTGCCGCTTTAACCGAGAGCTGTTTGAGCTTTCCGGCCAAAAGAGCGGTGGAGTTTGCCTGCGCTGTAAGCACAACACTGCGGGAAGGTTTTGCCACTATTGTAAACAGGGTTATTACAGAGACCCTACCAAGCACGTTACCCACCGCAGGGCATGTAAAGGTAGGCTGCTACTGCCTCTAGTTCTCCTCATCACCTGCTGCACTCTCCTTTATATATCGTAGAGCTACCAGCGCACTGATACCGGCTTACCTCGCTAATGGCCAATCTGTCTTACGCTGACCTTACTAAAATATCACATATGATAACGTACCTAATTCTGGAATTGTCGCCACATCGGAAACAGTATTATACAGTTAACTTCATGATTACATCAGTAACATCACACATCATCAAACTATAGTAATAACAATGAGTATTTTTATGTAATTGGTAAGAAACGGGCGTCATCATGTCTCTTTGCTGGCACATACTTTTTGATAATTGAAGGAAACTCGAAAGCGAAATTTATTTGCAATGGCTCGAAAAAGGACAACAATAGAACATGGGGAAATGATTGATGGTGGGTTTGCATTACTTGAAAAATGGAGGTATCACAGTCGTACACATGGGGAACATCCGTGAAAGACGTTGCCAAAGCGGTTAAGGGGAGAGGCTGTGATACAATCCATCGCAGGATCCGCCTGACACAGGGAGGGTAGGGCTGGAGATGTTCTTCTGGTTCTATAAGGGAAGGGGGATAGTGGTAACATATGTAGGCGGATCTTACTAGAGTGATGTGATGGGGAGGGGGTTCACAGACCCAGAGTTTAACATGGACACGTGTAAGCGATGCAGTGGTCCTTGAAAAGAAGTCTTTATGGCTTACCTAGCACAGGTGTGGACCAGACTCCGGCTGGTGGGGCTTAATGCTAAAGAAAAAGATGGTTAATAACGAAACCAAGCTTTAAATGTCTAACTGAATCCAGCTGGTTAGAACGTGAAAATTAACATTACCCAACGATCATAACCACATTGGCATGTTTTTGAAAACTAAATTAATTCTGTTTATTGGTGTGTTTCCACTTAGGTCGATGCAATCTTTGCGCTAGCAGGCATATAAGTCGATTGCAAGAGGTGTGAAAAGACCGCGTTAACACAACATTTTTTATCCCGCCCAACATCTCGGAAACAAGCTTAAAGTGGAATTCTCCAATTAACCGTACTTTTTTAGATATGATATTCTTATAGTTTATTATAACTATTTGTAAACTTAGTAAAAAAAACACGTGTCTTATAGTGCCCACACATACTCTGTTATTCAGTATAAGATTTAATTTTACGCGAAAAATATTCCTTAATCAACGATAACATGTAAGAAGACACGAAATATGTTATCCGTAGGGAAAGCAGTATTTGTCCCCTTAAATTAAATCTAACATGACTCTATTTATATGTTTTTCTAGAATTTCAATCAAGACACTAATATTTTTACACGAGGAAGCAGATTATAACATAACTACTAATAATAAAACTTTTTTTAAAAAAAATGTTGAAACAAATTTATCTTGTCATATGTAAATTGACGACGAGGATAGTTTGAAAGTAATTTATAATGTTTCCGGTTTGATTAAACTTCGATAACTGCTTAATTTGCAGGCAATTTCAGTGCGAAAATGAAATAGTAATTTCTCGCAATGTTATTGATATACTAGTAACTACAGCTTGTAATATACAGAACTCATGGTTGAACTTTAAGAACATATATATTTAGTAATAGTAGGTAATTAATCCAATCTTTTATTTATTTCGTTATTGTTAGGTCATTTGACAACATGACACTAATCATTCAATAAAGCAGGCGTCGCTTCTAATCTCTCTCTTAACAGTAACATTACTAGGTCTTTCTTAGCAATCGTCCCGCTCCTTCTTGAAAACCCGATTTCAGACATTGAACTCCCTTCTTTTGTGTCACCTGTTCTAATCATCCATTTTGCTTTTAATGACAACGGTGTTTATGTGTGACACTTATAAGATAAAAGGATTTTGCCGGCAGTATTCTATATTCCAGTCCTTATTTATCGGTGTAAATGTCTTCTGGAATTCGATACAAGCTTCCGATTAACACTTGAGTTATTAAGAGGCTGTGACAAAACGTTCATTGAAATCTACCCAAGGACTATCAAAAGCGGTCCATGTCACTAGTAGTAACACCTATTTCATTAGTACTAATAGCTATACTCCAGATAAGCTCTCAAGTAGACCTCCACGAAGTGGTAGTATTCAAGGGGTTGGACGCACCAACGCCCCAGGCAATTAACACCTTGGCTTCTAATATGTTTTCTTTCGGTCATGGTGACGTCACCAACGTTCTCGTAAGTGGAAAGCACCAAAATTGCATTTACCCCAGACCTGTAGTGTCTCACATAAGAAGGTACTACTCATATATCTATATATCACATGAGTATTTTCTATTATGCAAACTTTTTTCCGAAGAATTTTTCGCTCACTGAACCAAAGCAAATTATTTTTTAACAAATAGGTGAGAAATGTTTGTAAATATAGATTGCTGTGATATATATTGGTTTGACTACTGGTGTTGACCTGTTTACCATATATATTGAAAAAAAAAGTTTTTTGTAATATTGTTGAAATTGGTATCTTATACGTTAAAATACATAAACATTATGTCTACCATCTTGTTTCCTACCACACTCCTGATATAATTTATTCAGGTGTCTTTTCCAATTACATTTTGTTTGTTTTGCTGAATGGTGTAGACACAGAGCATTGTATATAGAACTGACGTGAATGTTTTCTCGTCTGGGCGATGCTTCAAACTTTGACACCTTCGGTATTGATAAGAAAGTAAAGAGGATTGCAAGGAGGAAGCATTTCCTGTGAAAGAAGTTTTTGTAATTAGTTGCCAGGTGACTTACAGCTATCAGGATGGAAATAATAATATACTGTTCAGAAATACGATTATCAATACAACAACTGAACATTATTATAGATAAAATATGTATTTATTGTATAAGTGTTTTGTGTGGATCGCCAAATTAACTGCAAGTACATGAACGATGCAGATAATTTTGAAGTGTTTTGTTTTGGTTGCTTTGATATTCTATGCTAAAGGTGCAGACAATCTTCCCCTGATCTGACTTATCAGTCAGAAATTGTGTCAGTTCTACTTTAACATGGATGGAGCAGTTCAATAACAGCCTCTTTCAACGGGTTGCAGAAGGCAACTGTTATCAGCGACATCTCTTTTCAACACAGTGCTATTTTAATCGCGATATAATCCGTGTATTTGTAAATATAACTTCTCTGTATGAAAATAAAACATGCTGCATGTTAAAACGCTGTGTTGGATCTTGTTTTTATATTAGGATATGCGTATATATATATGTGTGTGTGTGAGTATGTGTTTGTGTGCTAAATATATTTGATAGACATGTTAATTACTTTAGTAAAAATAACTTCAGAATTTTGTAAAGAAATTTGTATTATGACACCAAAAAGATCCTTGTTTTCATCATTATAACGTTTCCTTACAAGAGAATTAACTGCTATATTAAGTTAGTTACGTAAATGTGTGATTTATTTGCGCGAATACGATGCAGATAATGACTTTTTGTCTGGTTTGTTTGTTTGCTTGTTTACCCATTTTCTTTTTATCATTATTACACGTCATGCAAATCACTAACTTGAATGTAAGAAAAAAATTATAAGATTATGTGTACATGAATATGAAGAATATAAAATTGTGAAAAAAAACTTTTATTTTAAAATCTTAAGACTATATTTTTTTTCAATATATCTATTTGTGCTGCTTCAATTCATCGTTGATATATATCCTTATTGTAGAAGTTTGTTTTTTATGAATTCTCCCACTTTATTGTGGTTTTCCTGAGTTGTATGAAACAAATTAAAGAAAAAAACTGTTGTTAGTTATAAATCTGTCAGAAACAGAAAGTAATTTCCATTTTAATGTGTTTTAAAATAATAGGAAGATATAGCATATCGTAATTCAGAAGTTTGATAAAACATGATAGAGATGTATAATATTGGCCAGACATGAATGATAAGTGTATATTTACTGAGATGGTGTATAAGTGACAGAAATTACATGCATGGAAATATATGACAAAAACCTCCTTTTCTTTCGACAAGGAAGTTGGTTCTGCTGTCTCATCTTTATAAGTAATACTATTTTTCTTTTTGTTTCAAAACATGTCTAGTTCCTTCTGTTCAGTTTATGAAAGATGTTATCCATTGTAGATTTTAACAACCATATTGCTTAACTAACGAAATAAATGTTATTTAAGTCCATGCTTACCTTAGAAAATGATTTATCTTACCCAAACTAATTGAGAAATTCTTATGCGTAAATCTTAATACCCTGTCATTGTTTTATCAGGCTGTGACTGTCATCCCGTCGGCGCCCTTGGCCGTACCTGTAATCAATCAACTGGACAGTGTCCATGCAAGGATGGGGTAACTGGTCTCACGTGCAATAGATGTGCAAAGGGATACCAGCAGAGCAACTCGCCCATCGCCCCGTGTATAAGTAAGTTATTCCATTTTACACTCGATCCCCTCACACATTGAATTGTGAAGATGATATCGTACATAAAAAAAACAATATTTTTATCACGTAGTTAATGTAATTGAAATGTGTTTTCTAATGTTTCGCCTTTGTTCCAGTATTTGTAAATTATACCTTGTTTTAAGAGTATAACGAAATGTAGTGTCCTCCCTATATTCTTTCTTTTATTTCTTCTTTTTTTTAACTTTAATTTTGCCTTTCGGTTATTCTTGACTTTTAACTTCATTACAATGTTTTGAGTTTTGTTGATTAAACGCTAAAATGAGCCGACGCTGAGGCATAACTAGCTAACGCTACTTCGCACCACAAATCAACACCATCATTTACATCAAAATTCCTTTATGATGTCTCGAATGGCCATTGCAATTTATTAAGTATTTCTGCATAAAAAGTTTAAACGATTATTAGGATACCATGGCAATAAATATGGTGGCATTGGTACAAAAAAGAAATTCTTTTATAAGTAATATGTTTTGCATGTTCTTACACATGTCAGGATGATTTACATTTTAAAACCCACTCAGGTTGCTATGATATGCATGGGTAGAGAGCGTCCCACCTTGGTTAAGTTCCATACATCACCACTATGTATATGCGCGTTAATGTTTCCGTCGTGTCCTTTAAGTTTTTTTTCTGTTTTACACGTGTTTTAATGCGCAGATGCAGTTAGAAATAGAGAAACAGTTTGTCGCATCATTGTTACTTGGCACTACTTTGTATTTGCGGAACAAATATTGTATTATTTTTGGAAAATGACATTCCTCTATTTCAGGAACTGCCAACTCGACATCGAACGATTACAACAAAAATAGTTTGTGTTATTATTACGTCTAGCGCATGCGTAGATGAGATACATTTTGAATAGCTTAGAGAAAGGAAAACGGAGTTCATGACTGGCATCTGTGATGTTTTAAAGTTACTTTTCTGTGTTTTTAATGTTTTCGAAAACGATATGGCATGGTTAGATTTAATACTTATGTAGATATTACTGGTCAATCAGTGACCATTGTTTTAGCACTTTATGTGTCCACTTTGTACTAACATTTGCCTCACTAACAGTGTGGTCTCGATAGTATAATGCATATGTAAAACAAACACGTTGAAGACCTCAATTATCAGTGTTTTATCGTATAAAAAATATTAAGCAGATGGCACGCGCAATTTCTATTTTTTAGCCCTAATCTTAGTATAAAAATAACCTAACCACAAAAACCTCATTTACTACAAAAATACATGTACCATATAAATTTTCTTTTCTACAAAAATCCTCTAACCGAAATATAAAGCTGAGGCAAATTATAAAACTACTTCTACCCTTGTTAAAAACTATTACAAATTACGAAAAAAGTCTTCAACTCGTACTTCAGAGCTTTCCTAAATTTTCCATAACCTAACTACGGAACTACTTCTAACCTGACTACGAAACTACATTCTCAAATGATCGCCAGCTTTAGGATGTTTGGTCCAACAGTAGATGTATAACATACTGTATTGTCATCAGAACTCTAAAAGAGGAATATTATGTTTTGGCGAATTGAATATATAAACGTATACGTGAATTCGGCTCCTAACAAATAATCTATGACGGCAGTGAAGGAAGCTGTGGGTTTGACATTTTATCTGTTTATTATTGTACCGTGTGCAGCTACCGTGAGCCCAGTGCGGGAACATCTGTTCACTCGGCTTTCTCTGTTACGGGAGTATATAAAGTATAGATAATGTTCTTGTATTTCATAACCTAAATCGTCTACACTTAATACTTCAACTTAGTTCCAAACATATATTAAAATACAGGACATAAATACTTTGTAAGATAAAGCTATTTCATTATTGCATGACAAATGTTTGTGCGTGACTGAATCAGTTGTCGTAGACTGCTCGTTTTCAATAGAAAGAGAGAAAATATGTATCTATATAACGAGTCTATTTTACTCTACCTCCTCGCCCTACATCTCAATTTACTCCGAGTGCGGTCAGTAAAGGAGGGGATACTAAATGCACATAAAACAGCTGCCTGTAACTTAACTCTCCTAATGACATCAAAACGTGGCTTTATGATACGTGAAAATATGTTGACTATTGCTTGTAATGAATCCTGCCGAGTTGTCCTACAATATATGATGGATATTTTGGTGATTAAAGATAACAGAAGTTTTTTGTTGGGGTATTTCCACTGGAAATCGCTTTCCTTACATTACGTTTTCGTTTTCTTCCACATTTCTATTAACCCCAGTGCAAGTAACGCATTTATTATACAATTGGAAGGAGTCCACCTTGCAGTAAGCTTCAATAAAATATATATCAAACTGTTTTTCCGTATCTACAACTTGGTAAAAATATCCATACATTAAACAATCTACAAAAAATAAATTACTGATGTTCTTGAACGTGTAACCGATAGATTTCTGATTGACGGGTTATCTTAAATGACTTCCTCGTTGGGTAACCGGGATCGAGGTGGCGTGTGCCTAGATCCTAACACTTTGTTCTACAAATTGCCTAGTTGCGAATAGATGAAGATTTCGAATACCGAAACAGCTGAAACTCTGCAAGTGACTTTTCTTGTGAAGTGGTTTTAAACTAGAAAATGTGTTATCTGTTCTCGAGTTGTGCGTTTAGTTTTATATATATGCTATGAAATTGGCCCAAACGGTGCTCGTAAAATTATCATTACGTAAGAGAATTAAGGGCATAAAACTTTGACAGCTATTACATGAAGGTTGTAAAGTGGATCCGGCAGGTGTCATATTACAGTCCAGATTTCAATCATACCATAGACAATTCAAAACTTTAAACCACCAAAAAACTTCCTTCGTGTAGGAGTTCGTTCGTACAGTCATACATATAGATTTACGTTTAAAACACGTAGGCGTTAACCATATACATACCAACAATTACCATTGTGGCGGTTACACCATGCATCGCCCATGTGGATAGCAATACCATAGTTTAATACTATTTTGGTAATAGCTACCATGAAGATGAATGAAAATTCTTTTAAATCATTAATTTTCATGGAGCATTAATTTTCGTTTATTACTCGGTACTCTTACACGAATTCATATGTATAAGTACAAGTATTGAACCGTATCTACCAACGAAATGAAGAGCCCACAAAAAAATTCCCAGGAAAATTGACCCCCACGAGAATTTATGATTTTACAGTACAGGATGCATCCTAGGATTGGACTCAACTGTGTTGATATTGATGTAGAGTATGGAAACTTGGAGGCGAGATAGGTAGATCTAGAACTGTCGAGCTTATGTGAATAAGGAACAGTAAATGTAATGTATTTTCACTTTGGGATAATCTGATATCGTGATCTTAACACATACATGTAAACTCTGGTACTGATTTTGGTAAATACAGATGAATTGGAGATAATTAATGGACCTTGTTCATGGTTTTTGGTTTTTTTTTCTATTTTGGTTTTATTTACCTTTTGCTGTCAATTTTAAACACCAATTTATAAAAGTTTATCCAAGTTTCATCACATCTTTTGACGCTAATATCGCCCATTGACTTGTAGTTATGGAATGGTGTTTGTTTTGACCCCCCTCCAACAACATATATCATGTCAAATAGAATTAAACTTGTTGATGCATTTAACCAGGCACGCATGGATCGGTCTTACTATGCGATTGGCATGTTTACCATCAGTCAAGCTCAATTTTATCTCAGTGCATGCTTGTGTAGGAAAAAGTCTGTATTAATTATCATGTTCCTGTATTTGCATATGTATTTAGGTCGTGAACGACAAACACTTTCGTAACAGGGGTGAAACACACATGAGCTTATTAAGAGGGATTTCAATTAACATTTTTTATATCAATATGGCACGGCAAGCGATAAGTGTAAGCTGTTCGTATGCTTTTTGTTTCTTGGTTTGAATAAATATATTCAGTCATGAAGTCATTCGTCTTAAGCTTTAGTTACATTTTATGTTGTTTAAGGGTTTGGTGTAGTCAGACAGCAGGTCTAGCTTGTGACACGAAATGTCCTAGCTTGTAAATACCTGTAGAAGGTAGCGTTCTAGGTTTCTTGGCACGTGCATGTCGGGGAAATCTCGTGCATCCCTGTCTAACACCGGATGTGTATACCTCAGTTGTCTGATCACAAAGCGATGCTGTAACTAATTTTCTTGCATTGGACATAAGATTCCAAAGAAAATTTTAGATGTTATCATTTTTCAGTTTTGCCAAACTCATAAGAATTATTGCATTAAATGTTCGAAATTGCTCCAAAGTTCTAGTAAACCAGACAAAATTGAATATGATCTAGCAAATGAAAGAGCGATTACGCAGATAGGTGTCGCAATAGTGCAGGCGCGGCGCACAGCGGTAGCCGTGATATATATATATATTTGTGTTCTTTTATATATATATTTGTCTGTTTGTTACATTATGTATGTATTTAGTTGTTTTAGTTCGATCCCATCCATAAACTTTGTTCTGTTACCTCTTTTAGGTAAATTTACGTAAGACAAGGTCCTAGTGACATTTTCTTTGCTCATATTGCTTTGTTTTGGCTTTTTCAGAGATCCCTGTTTCGCCCACTCCAAGGCCCCGACCAGGTAGGTCTTCAAGAATATTTCTCCAAAACCATCAAATATTCTGTCTTTATTTCTCAAGGGTTAAGAATGGTCGTAATATCATGTTATTTTGAAATCGAGTTACACAGATTTAATGAATAGAGCAAGAAATACACAGGCAAACATGGATTAACACAGATGAGCGAGTTTGTTTGAATACTTAATGATAGGGCCTGTATGATAGTATCCAGGACGGGGCTAACACTACAGGTGGACTTTAACGGTGGTAACACCTATCTTCCCGGTATGAGGCTAATTCCGCATCAAATGTGCAAATACATGACTTATGAGACGTTACTAAAATTTAAATCAAACCTATGATTCTTTATTCATTTTCTTTGATGGAGAAATGTGTCCTCTAGGAGAAAAGAATAGAACTTAATCCTCTACAAACCTGGATCTAACTAAATTACAGGATCACATAAAGTCACACAAAGCCACATACGGCAAGAGAGTAACCTGTATTCAATAAATTTGACATAAGTTTTTGAATCAAACATTTGATTTGTTGCTAATATAACGCCTAGTGTCACGATTAATCCAAAATATCAAACTCTCTTACGGTTGAAGACTTCCCAAGAGCTATCCCAGATCACACTTCAGTAGAAAATGCAATATCAGACGAAAGGCCTATCGCTTCGTTTACTCGTGTGAAAGCTATGACCAATGCTATGATTGATTGTGGAGTTTGGGAAAGCTTTTCGTTTAATGGGCCGGATTGAGCGCTAACACTCTGTTACAAGACGGAAGAAGAGCTGTGGATTGATGAGAGACCACAGCACCTAGCATACTGTTTGTGTCTCCATTCACTACTAATACCCGCCTTCCTATTTGAAATCAGAAATTATTTTGGTTGGTGCGCGTCCAGTTTGATACCATTCCAATTCCAACATTTGTTATGACTTCAATGGCAAGTCCTGAAAGAAAACAACCATGCCTAGACTTAGTGTACACAGTTCGCACTATTTCTTATTGTGGAATGTTTTTCATACGAAATCACGAGTTCCATTGAAATCATTCCGCTTGTATATGCGATGCGCATGTGTATGTATTGTGTGTGGCCCGTACACCTGGCCGCACCAGCTAGGGTCCATTAGGTACGGGAAAAGCATGCGCGTAAAAATTACTTCTCAGAATTGTCGAGAAAATGAGTCTTATACAACATGGTGAAAACATATATTAATAGGAGGTATTACCAAAATGAAATCGTAGAATGAACGCCGAACATAAAAGTGTGCCGCGGAAAGTTATTAATATACAATTAACTAGTGTTACATTAACACAGTCCAGTTTTTATAGCAATGTTTACACTAAGATCACATTTACTGCAACTGCACTTAGCCTTCTGGTATCGAATTTCAAATTGAATGCTGTTTTTATTGCACACTGACTTACCATCGTAATATGTAATTTAAACGCTTCAAAGCTGCTCTATATTAAACAACACATGAGAAGTAACTCAATTTTCCGGATTCAAGTTAAAAATAATTTTGAAAACATGCTTTCATTAACATATTATAGTTAATCATTTAAATGTTATCGGACGATTTCTAAATTGACAGTAAGAAGTAGTTCTAGTTATCCCGATGCCAAACGTAGGTGAAATTACGTTAAAACAGATGGTATATAGAGTTACCTAAACAGACTGTAGGCAAAGTTACCTCTGAAGAGATAGTGAACGAGTTACTGAACAACAGACAGTAGGTGTAGCTACCTTAAAACAGATGATACGTTATGTTAACCTGCTGTAGTTACCTTACAACAGAAAGTAGGTGTAGCTACCTTAAAACAAACAGCAAGGTAGTTATCTTACAACAGACGGTAGGTGTAGTTGCCTTAAAACAGATGATACGTTTAGTTAACCTCCTGTAGTTACCTTACAACAGACAGTAGGTGTAGTTGCTTTAAAACAAACAGCAAGGTAGTTACTTTACATCAGACAGTGGGTGTAGTTGCCTTAAAACAGATAATATGTTTAGTTACCCTGCTTTCGACTGTATGTGGAGTTACTCACACAGTTGTTATAGTTATCTTACAACAGGCGATAGGTATTGTTTCCCTAAAACAGGCAGTAGGTGTAGTTAGTTACCTTACAACAAGCTTTAGGTGTTGTTTCCCTAAAACAGGCAGTAGGTGTAGTTAGTTACCTTACAACAAGCTTTAGGTATTGTTTCCCTAAAACAGGCAGTATTTGTAGTTAATTACCTTACAACAGGCGATAGGTGTTGTTTCCCTAAAACAGGCAGTAGGTGTAGTTAGTTACCTTACAACAAGCTTTAGGTATTGTTTCCCTAAAACAGGCGGTATGTGTAGTTAGTTACCTTACAACAAGCTTTAGGTGTTGTTTCCCTAAAACAGGCGGTAGGTGTAGTTAGTTACCTTACAACAGACGATAGGTGTTGTTTCCCTAAAACAGGCAGTAGGTGTAGTTAGTTACCTTACAACAAACTTTAGGTGTTGTTTCCCTAAAACAGGCAGTAGGTGTACTTAGTTACCTTACAACAAGCTTTAGGTGTTGTTTCCCTAAAACAGGCGGTATGTGTAGTTAGTTACCTTACAACAAGCTTTAGGTGTTGTTTCCCTAAAACAGGCAGTATTTGTAGTTAGTTACCTTACAACAAGCTTTAGGTGTTGTTTCCCTAAAACAGGCGGTATGTGTAGTTAGTTACCTTACAACAAGCTTTAGGTATTGTTTCCCTAAAACAGGCGGTATGTGTAGTTAGTTACCTTACAACAAGCTTTAGGTGTTGTTTCCCTAAAACAGGCAGTATTTGTAGTTAGTTACCTTACAACAAGCTTTAGGTGTTGTTTCCCTAAAACAGGCAGTATGTGTAGTTAGTTACCTTACAACAAGCTTTAGGTGTTGTTTCCCTAAAACAGGCAGTAGGTGTAGTTAGTTACCTTACAACAAGCTTTAGGTGTTGTTTCCCTAAAACAGGCAGTAGGTGTAGTTAGTTACCTTACAACAAGCTTTAGGTGTTGTTTCCCTAAAACAGGCTTTAGGTGTTGTTTCCCTAAAACAGGCAGTATTTGTAGTTAGTTACCTTACAACAAGCTTTAGGTGTTGTTTCCCTAAAACAGGCAGTATGTGTAGTTAGTTACCTTACAACTAACTTTTGTTGTTGTTTCCCTAAAACAGGCGGCAGATATAATTACCTTGTAACAACTGTTAAGTTTGGTTCCCTCAATAGTGCATGACCATAAACATTTTTTTTCGGTATAGTCATTTATCTAACATTTTCCAAACACCAGAAAACACAGGAGGCATTGTGATAAATTATATTGGTATTTTCATGTTGTACAGCACTGTTAATACATCATAGATGAAGTGCAAACTCCAAAAATGACAATGATGTGCACTGCAGCATTGTTTACATAATGTTTATAGCAATAACGTCGTAGTGTAGGTAATTATGACCGTAGATTGAATTAGACTTACATACATTCTACAATTTAACTGTCTAGACAAACCGTAAAACACTGGTAATGTCTTAACGCCCTGTCCTCATACCTTATCACCCAACACTACTGGTCGTTATTAATATCCTTCATTTTGATAACTAATATATAATTTCAAACGTTTTATAATTATACCAATTATCGGCAAAGGTGTGGTTTGGATTGGGAAATATTAAATTTTATACCCCATAATTCTACACAGTGTCGATCAAGGTGGCCGCGCAATCACTGCTCCATTCCCATAACTACAGAGAATTAACGTTACGTTATTAATTATCTGGGATCAGTCTATCAATAAGTGTAAAAATGTAATATTTGAATTTACATTTATATTAGTAAGTACATTGGCAATATATATGGTCGCAATGACCTAGATATCAACCTATTGACCTAGTTATTACTTTATTAACCTAAATAATTATATTGACCTATTTACATTGATATAAACACATTGGCATATATACCAACATATTGACGTAGATATTAACAACTCTGTGTGCACCAATTGAGTTTTCAACTGTTTAAAATGATACACTTTTGATGTTTTTCTGTTTCATGTTGCTTCATATTTTAAGGGTGATTATTTCATTTCAGCCGTTTGTGGAAAATGTAAATCGAAGAACAAGAGAGTCAACATTCGCAAGTATTGCCGCCGAGATTTTGGTTAGTCCCATTTGCCTTCAATCACATAACAATGTTTTGTAAACAAAATATAAATAAATGTCCATACAGTTAAATAGTATTATACAGTTTTACTGTAATCTTAAAATAGAGCCATTTACATGCATCACTTAGCAATAGGATAACTTGTACTGATTGTTTTACGCAACCAAGTAATTTTGTTATTGGCAACAATATGAAGCATTTCTAGACGTGTAGCGTTTTAGATGCGTTGTTTTTAACAGTTGTATTTGTGATTTAATTACAGCAATCCATGCCAACATCCTGTCGAGAGAGACTGTTGGAGATATGGTCAGATTTACAGTTCACGTCATCAGCATATACAAACCAGACCCGAAACAGAACAGGCGAGGTGAAACATACCTGTGGATTCCTAAAAGAGACGTCAAGTGCAAATGTCCGAAACTGCGGCTCAATCGTCAATATCTTCTTATTGGTAAACACCGGAGGCGGAACAATCGTACCGGATATGATGTCGACCGGAAGACTATTGTCATCCGCTGGAAGGATAGGTGGCAACGACGTCTCCGAAGATTCACGAAACACCAACGGAAAGGCAAATGTAGGTCTAAAAGTTCTCTGAGGAAAAAGAGAAATTAAGTTGATGAAACGATATGTGAAATGTATTTCGTTTCAATTGGATTATAGAAAAAAATATATATGGACGCATTTGGAAAAGGAGGATATGTCAGTAAATGTTATTCAGTATTGAATCATGACATGCTATTCCATAAAGACAATGCTATCATGTGTTGATGAACGGATTTGAAATCAACCAAGTGTAACGGGTAACGCATTACACAAACTTCAATGGTGTTCAATAGAATTGCCATTTACAAAGTACCTGGCGGAAAATGATAATGAGCCAATGTGTGTTGTTTACTAAAACCGAAGTGTTTTTGTGACGTCAGATTTTCGCTGTGTCTCTGGAAAATGCAGTCGTTACTTTATCTGTACTCAGCACATTTAAACAAAGGGTTCGGGAAGGCACGTCTGGCAGAATGCCTTTAGTGAATCTAGAACGCTGTCAGTTAGGTCAAGCGGAAATGAAGATTTTTTTAATGTGTGAATATATATGTATAACAGTTTGAAAACATATAGTATATTTTCATACATGTGTTTACAAGGGCAATAGCTCCTGCGATGTCGAATCGATCCCATTTTTATTTATAAAATGGAAAAGTGTCGATTATAATATGAATTTTATCGTGTTTGACATTTGTATAAACATTGTGACACTTAATGTCATTCAATCGGACATATGTTTGTGTTGTAACCGTCTTGATACCCGTTCTTCGTTCCAGTATACACGTTAATATTTGTATAGTATTTGATATATGTATATAGATAATTTAAGCGTTATATTTTACTGTTCATGAAATCTGTTTAAATGTTTCTGTTATAATAACGATCTAATATTGACGCTGTGTCAGTAGATTACCTACATTTGTGTGTAAGGAATCACCATATCATAACATTACCAACTATCATGTCCCTGGGACAAGCCTTTGATATTATCGGTCTAGTATATTTGCCAGTATGACGTAAATGTTTTATTATTGAAACATTTCATACAGCAGAAAGATGTTTCGAATCACCATTGGAACACACGACAAGAAACCAAGTTTTGGAAATTATATGGCCGTGTTCGGGAGAATACAAAGTTTTGTCAGGTTCAATGAAATCATTAAAGATAAAACTGTTATAGATAACTTATTGATTAGGCTGGGTTCTCAAAATGTCACTGGACGTCCTTAATTTAGTTGTAACTTGTTGATATCAGATTGCTAATAGGATGTCAGTAACTTGTGTGGTAATGATTTCACGATATTAAATTCAGATTGAGATGTCTTGCTTTTGAACCAATACAATACAGTAGAATGATAGATACTTTTCATTGACTTGGTTTTTATTTAGATGTTCCGATGATGTACATAAACACTATGCTGTTCCTTTATACCACATTCTAATGTTCATCAGATCTATTGATAATCTGAAAACACTACTGTATGATTATAGAATTGACATTTCGTCTATCAGGACTATATGTATCCGGTATTTAATTTGTCCTGAGTTTGTGAATCTGACATCTAATATGTCCGGACTATGACTACCTGGCACTTACTCTGTTCGGATTATGTGTGCCCGGTATTCATCTGTTCGGGCCATACATACCCGACTGTTAATTTGTCTGGATTATGTGTGTCAGACATTAAGAACGTCCGGATTGTGTGTATCCGGTATTCGATATGTCTTTACTATTCGTTGATGTACGTATAGGGCAAAAACCGTCCGGAGTACGTGTACTGAATTGTCGACTTGTCTGTAGCTAATGTGTCAGCACTAGACCCGTCCGGGGTATATCTACCGGGCTCCTGACACATCCGGACTATTCTACCCGTCTGGAGTATATCTACAGGGCACTTGACACGTCCGGATTATTCGACCCGTCCGGAGATTATGTAATGAACTTTCGATGAATGAGTTTTTACACTAGAGTTTTATCATATGGCAGTTTGATATGTTGGTCGTGCCCATTGTCAATCTTTAACAAACAATTTATGTAAATCTTCATCTAAAATAAATTGAAATAATCTGCTACCATGGTTTTAATTGGCTTTTTATATATGTGTTACTATTATTTCCATATCGGTAAATGAAACCACTCTTTTACCATTAACTGCCGACACATTCAAGTCTGTTAGCAAGATCATTGATTTTAACATCCAATAACACAGAAAGGGGTCGTTATTTGTAGCGTCGCTTTTATATTGGCTTGATGAGCTGCACAATAACTTCTCTTAAGAAAAGAAATCCGTCGAGGAAAGTCGAAAATTTCATGCCATATCATGATACATTACACATTAAACATCAACTTCAATTGTGTTTGGCGTTATGGTGACAATTTTCAAATTAATAAGAGCACACTACGACCTTTTGGGTTATGGTTCTATTGTGTAGCATAATGTTAGTACATTTCTTAACACGACACAGATTTTTCAATATGAACCTATTAGATAGGGTATATATGGAAAGTTTGTCATCTGATGTTTACATACATGTTACTCAAACCCACTGGTAATACACATGTATTTGAAACAGAATGAACATTGAAAAAAATATGAATGAATTGGAAATTCATAATGCTAAATAGTAAGTGTTTAGATAAGAACTCCCTAATATTTGTCTGTTGTAGCGCCTATACCGGCATTGCAAAAATTAGCTCTAGAACAGCTTAGTAACGTCATAAAGATGTTTACGAAGGTCAAGAAGTCAAGGTTACAAGAGAAAATTAAACGTCAAAGTGACATTAATGTCACTTTTAACAAAAACAACCAATGAGATCAAGAAATGCCAATAGATTATGCTGATTATATCAAATGTGACGAAACTAGGGCAAACTATGAACAAAAATACGAGGCAAATAAGACCGGTTGTTCTGGAAGGGTAAGCGTCTTCTACTTCATCGACAACCCCGCCATGTATGTTTTGGTCAGTCCACGTAAATAATGAGAATAAGACGAAAACACGTACTAACGACAATTAAACACGTACAACTTCACCAGAAAATAAAACATTTCCCAATGAGATGCACGATTTCTTATTCAAACTATTCAAAAGATCTAATCCGTTTATGAAATGTTCAATGCAATTATTTGGCGCCAATAGTAGGACACACACAAACCGATAAATAGATAATAATATTATCATAATTGCATGCATCGTACTACAATAAATGGCTGAAAATACTTTAAAAAGCACTGAATATATTATTTATATGAACAACACAAGTACCATACATGAATTTACACGAAAAACAGCTACCACTTACACTTTTGCTGTATTCAACAGAGACGGAAAACAGCTGTACTTTAGTGCGTGCAAATGATTCCACAGATTTACTTCCTGTTATACTTCAATATTGTATTCAAAGATTTAAATAACTGCTTAAACAAGAAATGTTATTTGCTGTAAAAAAAAACAAATTTATTTAATTGAAATGTGGAACTTTATTTCCGCGCGGAGTAATTATTTTGGTGTGTGTAATCTGGCACAATTCAGCGTAATGTCAACGTCAAGTAAACAAAGAATGAACAGGTCTAAAAAGTGTAGAAGTTCCGATAGTCTGAATTTTCAATAGGTGTTGCAGGATCAATAGAATGCAGGGTCGATGTCTTAAAATTAAGATCTGGCTCGGGAAGACAAAAGTAACTTGCCAATTGCTCTTCACTTCACCATTGCCAAAATACGGTTTATTTTTTAAGCCACTCAGTAATAAAGCAATTTAGTGAATGCATGCTTATATTGTGTAAATTAGAATAACAAAATAAATATTCTAAACTGAATTACAAGAGTATTAAACTGGCAACATAATCATAATTTAAACTCAAATTCCATAAAACTAGGGCAAAATAGGAACAAAAATTACACCTGAAAAAAGGTGGTCCGAAAGAGTAAGCATCTTCTGTTTCATCGACGACACCCGTCATGTAAACCTTGGTTAATCCAAGTAAGTAATGTAAAATCTCAAACGAGAACAACGTACACAACAACGGAACAAACATTCAAACTAACGAGCATTAAATACGTTCAGCTTCATGTCGCACAAAGAAATAGAATATGAGGTCATAATGGTGACCATAAATCTTCACCATAATTTTCATCAACCTGCATGTTTTGAACCTTTGTGTTACGAGTTTGTCAGTCAGCTGACGACTTCTTGCACGAAAATCGTGATAATATTGAACAGACCCTTGAATATCGAATCAACTGTGACATGTAAATACTTCAGGTTGGAGATGCAGGGATATTGCTATCCAGAAATGGAAAATTCACGATATGGATCAAGATAAGCAGCAGATGTAAAACAGTATGTTGTATCTTTGATTTCCAGTTCTGGTGGATATATATGATGGACGTAGTCAAATTCTTGTTAATTGAAGATAAGGCCTCTGCAATATACCTTACGGTGAAAATAAATGACTATGCTAGGTCTTTTTGACCTTGTTTTGATAAACTCTTCAATAATTCAGCCTCGCATGAAAGCCAAAACATGTCAACCAACAGAGTGGCGCAGTAGTTTAGACAAAGGCTTTGTTGCACAATTAGACGAGTCAGTTATAAAAGGTTGTTTATATGGATTCATGTGAAGTTTTTGGATCCAGTATACACGGGGGAGGTCCGTATTCCTATCATTAGTAGACAACCTAAATTATTGTAATATCGAAGAATGATTAGGTAGTATTTCGTCTTTTGAACGATTGCATGATGTATAAGAGGGTTTAAGATAATACTGACCTGGTGTCACCGCGAATGGTGATGGACAAAACAGTAGATGACCAGTTCTTCCGAAATCTCATAAAAAATTCTGTATTCTTTAATTACAAATAACTAGATACATTAACGTCCCACCCAAATCAGTAGACATATTCAAGTCCAACTCAATCGAAATTTATCGGCCTCATCGCTCCATCTCAACCCCAACCTTTCGAGCTGAATAGAAACAAAACGTAGTTTTTGTGATGTATTTTGGATATCGAGCTCATTATCGCGATCGGATTGATTTATTTCGTCTGACAAATTTTCTTCGACATACATCTTTTGTGTGTCATCAGTACGTACCTTAACTTTTCTGAAGAGTGCATGTGTAAGAAATCTCTGATTAAAAGGAATATCTCGCTCAGTATGATAGTTCCATGAAAGACTGCTCCGGGAGACTTGGCAAAATAACAACATGCTGCATCGGATTCTCGTTCTGAGTGGATTAAAACTGTAACTACAGATAACGCAACCGAGTTTTTGTCCATTCATGTCATCAAACCCTATAAATTTTTTACCTAAATTGATTACTAAACTTCACAAGAATCCAGATAAACAATGTTATATTGTTCTTATATCGTTCTTTTATTCGAGTAAACTACTCTCCAGAATTTTAAGGCTGATGGCATTTTGATTTCAAATAACTCCATTGATGCTATGATCAACATTGAACATCAGTTCCACTGAATTTTGTTCGTGTACCTCCAGAAGGCCACAAACCACTGTTTCACTTCCGGGTCATTGTACGCGAATGCAGTGCAAAATGAAATTACAGGTCACTTAGTAAGTATTTTCTCTAGACTTAGCTATAACAGGTATGTACATATTTATTACTCAGAACTGTTGTACAATATCTATTGTAGTGGAGGAATTTTAGTGTAGTAGCATATCTTCTTAAATGCATATCATGATGTACTTTCCAGCTAAATGAAGGTTTGTCTTGAATAGTTCTACAATTTAAGAACCAAAACATCTGCATTTTTGTTTTCTTTTGGTAGAACATATAGAGAAATTAACTGTAGTCTGAGGCCAGATCATCCGGCTCTGCACACTACAGTATATAATTTCTTCAACTGAATGAACTGTTCATTTGCTTCGTTTGGGGAGAAGACAAACGAGGGAGACTAACATAAAATAAACCATGTTTAAATCGTCCTTACTACACCACACTGTACGATGTGCGTGATGAGTATGACTTCAATATTGTGAATTTCCATTTCTAGATAGTAATAGTCATATTTCCCCAACCTGTAATGTATACATGTCGCAGTTGTTCCGACATTCTAGGACTTGTTATCAATATCATGGTTCCCGAGAAACATGTCGACAGCTGACACATTAACTTACAACGCTGTGTTTCGAGGTTGCGGGAGATTATGGAGAAGTTTTATAATCGACATTACGATCTCCTTGTGAAACATTGGGAAATATTTTCATGTTTAAGTTAAATGTACTGCAGGTGTTAGACACTGCTGGAGGACTTTTAAGTCCAGGAGGTTTGGCGTAACCTGTATGCCATGTTTTAATTCACTCGAATAGTGACAGGGTTCAGAATATACACATGTGCTTGACATTCTTATGAAATAATTAGAAAAACGAAAGTTACAAAATAATCGAATTACCTAGTAATGCATTTCCTCATCTAGATCTACGCTGTACTATATCCAATTCTAAATTTGTATTAAAAGGTGATATCAACTTGCGTATCTATTGTACAACCTTGTTCGGTAGTTGCCTGGTGTTGTTGTCAAGTATATTGTATCACTTACCAGATACATTTTAGTGATGTTTTTAATATATCTTTAAGATGTTGTAATATAATGGCCTTGTTCTCCTTATGCTTTTTAAGGAGTCTCTGTATAAAACTTTCTCTTGTTTATATTTTGTCCTAGTTTTATTGAAATTTTATTTGTTTTTTGTTTTGTCTGGGTAAACCAGTACTACATTGTTTTAATTAGATTACACGGGGTCAGTATTTTTAAATTTATGCCAAATTTGCATCAAGGAAGAATGAAGAGGAACTGGGAACCAAATATTCATTGACAGAGAGGTCAGAAGAAAGACCATTTTAGAAAAGCAAATTGATTATCACGGCTATTAAGTAACAACGTTAAGAAAAACTGGTAAAGTAATGCATGTTCACGAGATCCGGGTAAAAAGAACACTTGGAAATGACGTTAAACTCTTAGTAGAGATAGTTACAGTCAATCCATGACGTTGTAGCAATGGACATGAACTTTTGGGTACAGTCAATTCATAACGTTGTAGCAATGGACATGAAC